CAGCAGCAGCAGCATCCGCAGCAGCAGCAGCAGCAGCAGCAGCAGCAGGCCTGCAGGCAAGGTTCCGGCGGCTGCTGGAGGGGCCCCTGGGGGCCCCCAGACCCGAAGGCTGGGGCCTCGCCTCTATGGCTGCTGCGCTGCAGCTTGCTGCTCTGCTGCGCTCTGTCCCAGGGGGCCGGGGGGCCCTCGGGCTTGAGGGGGCCCCCCCAAGGGGCCCCCCAGCTGAGGCTGCACCGGCTGCAGCAGCGGCTGCTGCTGGCAGCAGCAGGGTGAAGCGCGCTCGGCAGCAGCAGCAGCAGCAGCAGCAGCAGCTGCAGCAGCTGCTGCTGCTGCCCGCGAAGGATCTGCTGCTGATGGCCATTCAAGAGTACTTCGCAGCACTCGTCAAAGTGCTGCTGCAGTGGGCCCCCTTCCGCCGCCCCGCTGAGGCCCTGCAGCAGCTGCTGCGGGGTTTTGACGTTGCTGCTGTTTATGAGCTTTTGCCCCTCCCTCTGGACTTGTTTTTGGGGCCCCATAGGAAGAAGCTGCTTCTGGAGCTGCTGCAGATGCAGCAGCAGCAGCAAGAACAGCCGCAGCAGCGAGAACAACTGCAGCAGCAGCAGCAGCAGCAGCAACTGTGCATGAGGCTTCTTGGGGCCCAAAGGGGCCTCCTGAGGCAGTCTCTGTCTTTGTTTTTGAGTTTGTCCCACCTGGCGTCTGCTTACATCCCTTGCTGCGCCTCAGTACCGGTAAACCCTAGCCGCAAACCCTAAACCCTAATTTAGCGTTTTGCAGCCCCAGGGGCCCCTCAAGCCTTCCCAGGCTGCCTGCTTGCTGCTGCTGTTTGCTGCTGAAGGGCCCCGCCGCCTCATGGAGCGTTCTCAGGGCCCTCGTCAAGGCCCTGGGGGCCCCACAGTTCCCCAAGAGGGGGGGGGGGCCCCCCGGGGGCCCCTTAAGAAAGCAGGGGGGCCCCCCTGAGCACCAGGAGGGCCTCCGCCTCAGGGTTTGGCTGGGCAGCGCGCAATGCGCCCTCGAGATCTACGGGTGCCTTCAGGGCTAGGGTTTAGGGTTTAGAGTTTAGGGCTTAGGGTTTAGGGTTTAGGGGTTAGGGTTTAGGGGTTAGGGCTTAGGGCTTAGGTTTTAGGGTTTGGGGTTACTGGCGCATGCGGGGCGATCTGGGGCGCTGCGCAAAAGGCCACCATGGCTTAGGGTTTAGGGCTTAGGGTTTAGGGTTTAGGGTTCAGGGTTGCTAGACTGTCTTGGGGCCCTTTTTCTCAGGGTTGTCTTTGAACATGTTGCAGTTCTTCTGGGGACAGAGGCCCCCCCTGTACCCTTTTCTGTGGGGCAGTCCGCGCAGGGGGGCCCCCGGGCCAGCGGGGGGCCCCCAGGGGCCTCCTTGGCCATCCCCAGGGCAGCAGCAGGAGGGCCCCCGGGGGCCCCCTCTGCTGCTGAGGTAGCAGCAGCTCCCCTTGCGGTTGTGCTGCTGCTGCCAAGACTCGTGAGGGCCCTTTTTGGCTGGCTCCAGCTCATGTCAGGTAGGCCCATCTGCTGCAGGGGCCCCCTTTGGGGGCCCCCTTTACCTGCAGCCTGCGACTGGGGGCCCAAGAGGGTAAGCATTCGCGGGTGAGGGGCCCCTGCTGCGCTGCTGCTTTGCTGCAGATGCCGTCGCGGCCCCACACCCAAAGGCCCTGGGGGCCCCCGGGGCCCCTGCGGCTGCTGCTGCGCCAGAGGGGGCCCCCTTGGGGGCCCCCCTGCTGACTCCCGAGGCCTTGCAGCGTCTGAGAAGGCTGGCCTGGAAAAGCGTTGAGGGGGCCCTTTTGGGGGCCTTTCGTTACTTGAGCAATTGTTTTTTGCCTGCAGTCACGCCTCCCCAGCTTCAGCAGCAGCAGCAGCAGCAGCAGCAGCAGGAAAGAAGGGGTCAGTCAGCTGTTGTGCTGCAGACGGCACGCTGTTGTTGCTGCTGCTGCAGCAGCGGTGCGACACGGCGCATCCGGATCCGCCGGAGCAGCAGCAGCAGCAGGAACTGCAGCAGCAGCTGCAGCAGCAGCAGATTCCTAAGGGACGTTCTGGAGAGCAGCAGCAGCTGCGTGCTGGCCCAGGCCTCTCTAAGGGCCCTGGGGACAGCTTTGCTGCAGTGGGGGCCCTTTATTGAGGAGACTGCAGTGAGGCAAATGGACCCTTTTGTTTTTTTTTAGGGGACTTAAAATGCTGCACTCACACTTCAACGAATCCTGCTGCTGCTGCTGCTGCTGCTGTTGCAGGTTTCGGATCTGCTGCTGCGCATTCACTCGATTTTTCCTCATCCGGAGCTTCTGCTGCACTTCCTGGGGGACTTCGCTGCAGCAGCAGCTGCAGCAGCAGCTGCTGAAGCAGCAGCTAGCAGCGCAGCAGCAGCCCCAAACGGCAGGGAGCCTCATTCCCCTTCAAGGAGACTACATGTGCCAGTCCCCGCCGGCTTGTTGGCTGCTCTGAGGAAGGTGCTTGCTGCTGCTGCTGCCCCTGCTGCTGCTGCTGCTGCTGCTGCTGCATGCGAGTCCTCTGGGCCCCCCTAGCCCGCTTCGCCTCTGTTTTGGATTTTGGGGTTTCTTTGTCTCTTTTAAAAGGAAACAAACTGAACAGCTGCATGCAAGCACTGTGCAGCACATAGGCTTCTTACAAGAAGCTACTCGAACAGCAGCAGCAGTTCAGCAGCAGCAGCAGCAGCTGCAGCAGCAGCTCAGCACCAGCAGCAGCCTTTTG